GTCTACCAGTTACCGCGAAAGCTGTACGAACCGAAACGCTTCGGTGCCCAGTGCTTAAGAAAATTACACAGGTTCACAAAACAAGTTGGCCACATTCGTGTCCATGTGTCGAGTTGCAACTGTATTACCAGTGGATACATTCACTCTCTATTGTGAACGACTGCATACTATTTTCGGAAAGAGTGGTCATCACAAAGGTCCTTCAGGAGCGCCTTATTCGGCAGTTCCTTGCCGGGCATCCTGGAACCAACCGGATGAAGGCGCTTGCCCGCAGCCATATATACCTGCCCTTCATGGACAAACAGCCTGAACAAATAGCTAAACGCTGCCAAAAGTGCGCCGGTGTCTTGAAAGCGCCACGAAAACCAGAGCTCTATTCATGGCCAAAAGTTACTAAACAATGGTGCCGCATCCATGTCGACTTTGCGGGACCGATCAACGGCCGAAGTTTCTTCATTATAGTCGATTCATACAGCAGGTGGCTTCATGGACAGCACAACCACCAATGCCACTGTATCAAGACTGCGCCAAACCTTCAGCATCTTCGGCTGTCCAGAGACCATTGTAACTGACAATGGCACACAATTCACTTCGGCAACTTTTACGGAGTACTGCAAGTAATGCGCCGTCCATCACATTCGCTCGCCGCCGTTTCACCCACAGTCGAACGACTAGGCAGAAAGGTTTGTCAATACGTTCAAGCGAGCTCTCCACAAATCAAAATGGGAGGGACGTATAGAGGAGATGGCTGACCGGTTTTTTCTCTACCGATCAACACCGAATCCACAAGCGCCGGACGGAGTTTCTCCAGCACAGGCTATGATGAACCGGAAGCTCTGTATGCCTTTCGATCGCCTTCGGAATCCTGTTAATGAAATAAACCGGAGAATGGAACAAAAAGTCTGAACTCAGTTCTCGAGCACATCTGCCAAAGAGATGGACCGACAGGCAGAGAACACCGTCCCGAAGACTACAACTTAATCATAGGCTTTCACCGTATACCTCGGACGATATCTCAGGAGGGGAGATGTCCGGGAGAAAGTAAGGATTGCCCGGAAAATCCACTATTTTAGCGATCAATCGATTATTAACGATTGTGGCATCGATTTCGAACGTTCTGGAATGTTCTAATTTCTGCATGTGACTACCTGACATCTCGGCCAAAGCTATGGGAAACCACTAACCTTGGTACCTGACCTACAATTCCAGAAGTCGAAGGTCAGTAAGAGACCTGTAAATACAGCCAAGGTCCGCGGTAGTTGTAGTGTTTTGTTGACGGCGGTTAACAGTTACTTTATCAAGGTCATTGGTGTTCTGCTCTTTCTTTCGGTTGGGCTAAAAGTTTTGTGGAGCAGTAAAGTGCCAATTTCGGGATCGCGTCTAGTGAGATTATAACACACATGTACCACGGACCGACAACAGCTGTGTTCCTCGACTTCAAGAGTGAGTTCGACTCAGTTGACCTGTGCATTATGTTCGAAACACGCGGTAAGATGTTCCCAAGAAATGTGTGAACATCTTACGTACTCTATTCTTGAACACCTACAGGCCGCGTCAGGGTCTACGGTTACCTGTCGGGTCTCTTCCACACAGCAAGTGGCATTCGTCAGGATTTCCCAATTCCCTCATTTTTGTCCAATTTCGTCGCCTTGCGAAACCTCACGATGCAGGCATTGGGGTGCTGCCTGATGAAAGATTAGTTGATCTTAATTATGCGGACAATATTGTCTTGCTGTTTAACAACGTTGCGGCGACTCAATCAATTCTGATTAACCTCTAGAGTGGTCCATTATTTTTATGCGCTTCGCGCCTTCAAAGCGCAAAGCGATCTTGCAGGGCCACTTGACCCCTGATAGAGTGGAACTCGAAGTAGTACATCACTTCACTTATTATGGCAGCTGCATCAGGAATGATGGGCGCATGATCACTGAATTCAGTTCACGTATTGCATAAACCAGAACTGACTCCTGTATCTGCGACATCTGTGGCATCAAAAGGGGGTTTCCCTCGGTCTAAAATGTCGCGTTTACAAGGCTACAGTGCGTGCCATACTACTCAACGGGAGTGAGATTTGGCGCCTTCGGTCTGAGGATATGAGGCACCTTTAACTTCTTGATCATCAGTGCCTTCGAAGCATTGCTAGTGTCGGATAGCACCAACGTGTCCCCAACGTCGGTGTATGTAGGCGAATATTAAACAGCGATAACAATGAATAAGTTGCCCGGTCACCGCTTACCGAGGAGGGCTTTGTTTTGTTTGCCAGACGCAAGCCTCGAGTTGGATAAAGGCTAACTGAGGACCAAACTCGGCGCCGCTTGTTCGTTTCGCCTTCCAGGCTGGAGCCCACGTGACCCACCTTGTGCTTGGCTCAAGAGGTTACAGGACATCGCTAGCAGTCAGTACCACGGGCGCGTTTGCTGTCGTCTCGTAGTTGGAATTCTGTTTAACACTAGAAAGACCGCACCGCCGCCTTACCTATAACGCCAGAAACCGATCCAAATGACCGCATAACTTTATTCGTTTATTCTAACTTTTATTCCTAAATTTTTCTGAACACATGTTAAAACAAGGAGTACAAATACTTGCAACTGAAAATCATTGAATTGCAGATTTTTCAGTAATTTGAAAATAATTTTACTAACTTATTCAGATTTACACTTGAAACCAGTTTTCATTCTCTCAATTTGTCCACATGCGTCACAAACTATTTCTAAACATACAGATCACTAATACTTTGACTTGTCGTTGTTACTGGATGTCAACGTTTATTTATTTTCATTCTTCACAACGACTGAACCGAACAACTCTCCACTGCTTTGCTTCAAACTGAATTGCACTTCCCTTCAAATAGCTCAAATAAATTCCACCATACTTGCATTTTTATTGAAGTGTTACTCCCAATGCTGTAGGTATGAAGAAGCTGTCACATACGACATAAGGCTCATGAGAGAATTGCTGCCCACTTTTACCAGAAACTTGCTACCGAACTTATCAGGTTTGATTGTCATATACTGAAGAAAACGACCGCGGGTTTTGGTGGAAAATAATTGTTCGTCAACGGTGAGGTTCTCTGCTGGCAAATAGCATTGTTGAGAGTAGCGAATAAGTGCGTCCCAGAATTTAGATATCAAAGCAAACTTGGTAATTCGCATGTCAAAACAAAGGAACCTCATTATTTCCCTGAATTTGTTCTTATCAGTTGTTTCCCTAAAACCGACCATCCGAATCTATTGCACCGCAGTATATACAATGGCACGTTCTTCAAACCAATAGGGCCTCTGATGTAAAATAGCCCAATAAAAGCACGCAGTTCAGGAACACAGTCAACTGTTATCTAAGCGTCAGAACATACTTGGATATGTTACTGCACCTGGGACACAACTATTGTGTCAAAAGCACTTGAGAGCGCAACATATTCCACAGATTTATTAGCGTAGGCAGTTGGTGCTAGTCTTGCAATAAAAGATTCTCTGCTGCCATCCTATCAACAATAGTTGTCTGGTAATCTAATGGGGTCCACGATAGGTGAACTTCACCGAGAAATGCAGAAACAGTTGACGCACTTTCGTGGTTTTCTCCACCAATACTGCCTTCCTGAACATTGTCACTGTCGGGAAATTTTACCACCAAAGATGCTGTGCTGTGATCTTTTGTGGGTTCCTGGATATTAAAATCGTCTTCAATATTATATTCATTTTAGTCTCCACACTCGTTATAAATGACAGCTGTAAGTTCTCGTAAACCCTTATCAGCTGCTCACCAAAATTTCCTATTGTCATAAATAATAGTGGTCTGAACTGGAAAAGGAAAACCGACTTGGAGGAATCCGGTCACTGTGACCGCCTACGGGTTTTTTCAGTAGCACGAACATAATCATTATTTCTCTTGAAAACTACAACAGATATCAAAGTCAAACCTCACAGTTATGAATTACAACAAAAAATATTAAAAGTCACAAAATATCGAAAAAAAATTTAAATGTAGAAACTATACACATATAGCAACGCTGACCGCTCCCGGCGTTATAGCATTAAACTGTGCTTGATGCGGAGTTATTTGTGGACTAATACCTGATTGTGACGCGGGACAGTGAAAGCCGCAAGAAAGCTGCATTTACACGATAGCTAGCTGTTCGCGACGGTACCTTGTTGACAAAGTGTAGGCGCCTTGACCGTTTGCTTAGAGCACTATAGATTTCCCTCTTCTAAGGAAGCATTCAGAACGAAGGTCCCTGCACAATGTCACCAACATGAGCACAAACAGTGGCCTATCGTGTGAAGATGAGTACTTTAACTATGAACTGTTCCTGGAGGTTAAAACTTATCCCAGATACATGGGTCGTGTCAGTAGAGTGTAACGATGCACTGAGGGGATTCAGGAAAAATACGAATTCAGCCTTTGTGAGTGTTCAGGACATTAAGTGATGTAAGACGGGGTTGCTGAGCCACACAAATGCACAAGTTGGTATGAGTATCAAGTCGGAATGCCTCACACCTGCGCGTCATGAACATGGAAACGAATCCTCTTGTTTATCTTTGTCAAAGCAATTGGTAATCGCGATAGCCGCCTTGCATTCTCAGTCATTCTATTCGCCAATAAGCGTAATGATAACGCAGCATCTCTTCGTAAACCGCTGTCGCTTCTTATTTGGTTAGAAGGCTACACCTGTTTCTCACTGTATGGAGGACTACGTTGTTCGTTCAGCAACGGAGAACATTTAGACGTAACGGAAAACTCATCATAACTCTGGCACGGAAATTAATCCTTGCGAGAGCCGAGGGACAAGCCGCAGTGCTTACAGCATCAAGATCTCGAATGTGCGAGATTACCACCAACTTACACAGTACATCCTATACATCGGTCGTCCACCGCGTAACTCAGTGGCAAAAATAAGTGTAGTAGAGAGCTTATGGTAGCACTAGAAAATAACCACACTTGATATCAGTCAAAAGCAGAATTTTCATTTAAAAAACCGATGCCATTTCAGGTGCTTGACTCACCCGTGTAACCCGTTGCAACGGAGCTTCCAGACATAGGATCTAATTGGCCATTGGAGCTGAGTTTAAACGAACCTGCTGCAGTATTGGTCGGGTTCTTTGGTTGAGTCTGCGTCACTGACCCGTCTGGATCCGCCTTCTTCTGCTCTTTCTGCAATTTCGTAATCCGGTCTATCTCCCTATTTTGAATTCGAGCAAGCTCGTCATAATATGACTGAGGAGGCCATCGGTAAGGGTTATAAATCTCCTGTGAAATGAAAGCAATACACGTTTGAGTTTTGTAGAAATGCCGCATGCAGAATAGGTACATTTTATCGAATTAATAACGAAACTGTTACTTGACAAGTAAAAAAGAGGTGTTAGTAAAGCCATCCTGATTTCCTTCCGCGACAACCTTTCGGTCCGTGGCCAAAAGCACTGACTCTCACTCTCTTGTCATTGATGAATACTGTGTTCCCGAAACACGCATACAATATACCAGCGTTTGACGAATTCTCCACTCCATGGTTCTGGATCTGACGACTCTTCGCGTCTCTGGCTAGACTGAGTCAATGGCACGAGGTATGTATGGTGTCCATATCTCCCACAGCAAACATGCTGAAAGCAATCTACTCGACTGAATACCGGTGAACAGCGTCAACGTTTTAATCCGAAGGTCGCGGGTTCGAGCCTGCGTAGGGGACCGGGAGATCCTCGCAGTATCCTTAGCCAACGCGCGACTGGTGATGTTTTCTTGGCAGCGAAGCGTCGGCACAGCATACTTGGTCCGACATTCCCATCATCACCATCATCACAATAGATTAGCTGAAGGCGACGAAACACACTTCAACTAACTTTGCCGCAGTACAAAAGATATATGAGGAGCGAGATAGGAAACATTACAGAATATAAAAAATAAAAAGTAAATAATATATCGCTGAGTGTCCTATTATCCACGCTTTGTGAGTTCATTGCCGGAGAGGAAACATAAGCGGGAAAAGGAGGGACGGAGAAATTCATAACACAGACGCCATTGAGGTCGGCTCTTAGCCATGTCAACAAATGTATCCAGCCAGACGTGTTTATCGTCCTTCGTTCCACAACCCGGCAGTCGGGAGACACCAACCGACGCTAAATTGGAAGTTAGAGCCTTCATTCCTTTTGACCAAGTTATCGCTTGGCCTCCCCTCCTTCCATCCACAGCCACGGCGCGCAAACAACGCATGTTGCGAGAGTCGGTGTGCCGGCCTGCGCAGCACATGGTGTGATATTACTGTGCTGAGCGGTTAAGGCGCTGTTCCTGCACCAAGAACACGACGCGAAACACGCTCATTGCACACGCAGTGTCCCCGCCAAACATCAGCTAAGCTGCAAAGGCAGCGGTGGTCGAACGTAGAGAGCCTCTTTATGTCTGTCGACTTGATGGGCCGTTTTACAAATGTACAGGAGGGTTGAATGCCCGGCTGCACTGTAAACTCTGCCCTTGAGGTCGAGCGATGTCGCGCCGACGCCAAAGGTGGCGGAGATTGGTAAAAGCACCTCGAGATTTTGCTATACGGTTTGTGATCTGTTACACCGGCGCTAATATAGCTGCCAAAGTACTTGAATTTCTGGACGACTTCTAACTGATCCACGCTGAGGGTCAGCGCAGCAGCGGGTCCCTGCCAATCTTGGAGAAGGACTTTGCATTTCGAGGGTGCAAAGTATAGTCCAAAACTACTGACATTCAGTTTTAATCTGCCCAGTGCTATTTGGCACGTTTGAGAGCTGTCAAATATTAGAGCAATGTCGTCGGCATACTAAGAAGTCGCTTACCTTGAAGCAGATCTACACCTTCAGTGTAGTACACATTGAACGCTATCTCCATGACTTCGCCAATAGCGAAGTTGAAGAGGAAAGGTGACAGGGCATTCTTGTCTCACACCGCTGGAGATAATGAAGGACGGTGACAGCTTGCCGTAAGGCCTCACTTTGCCCGAACCATGCGCGTAAAGCGCTTTGATAATGTTCACGTATTTTTCGGGCACACCTTTCCTGTGCAGACAGTTCCCAAAGGGCACATCGATTCACCGAGTCGAAGGCACTTTTGATGTCTTAGAACATGACTGCAGCGATGTTCCAGCAACTGGTGTAAGATGAAGATTTGGTAATTACAGCCTCGGTTTTCACGAAATCAGGCTTGCTCATCCGACTTCCTCGAGTGCGTGAGTTTATGGAGCAAGACAGAGGCAATTGAGATCAGACTGACCCCTCTGTATGTCGCAATGCGAACGTGAGCCTCTCTTATAAAATGGGGCTGTGAAGGACCTCATCCAGTCTGTTAGGATAGTCGCCTGCTCCTACAGCTTCATAAGTTGTGCAATTCACCTACAACAGCATGTCCCTGGAATTTATATAAAGCTGGAGGAATTCTATCTGCTTCTGCAACTCTGTTCAATGTAAGCAGTCTGAACTCACGTTCGACATTTACGCGTGAGGGCGGGTCTAAGGCCACTGCCCAGGGAGTACGGCCCTCATTGGCTGATAAGATGGAAATTCTGGCTGGCTAAACTGCTGTTCAGAATGTTCGGCCCAAAGCTCCAAGCGTTTTGACAAGCTGTGGATTAGCTATATAGTCTCGTCGCATACAGTTTCGCAAATACCAGGTCTCCTGCTGCCCGTTTCGCGTATCTGATGGAATAGATTCTGATGGTTACCAAGGGCAGCAGCTGTCTCCATTTCCGATGCACCCACCAGGCTTCGCGATCTCTCTTGTGGATAACACGTAGTTTCTCTCCGAGATATATGCGTTGGATTCACTTTTAGCCGGAATGTGTCTGGGAGCAACTAAAAGTGCCAGACTGTGTAGAGATACGGTGTCCATGTTGACAATTTGATTTGCCACATGAAAATATGCCTGCTTCTAATAACATCTGGCGGATTTGGGACCAGTGACCTACAGCTGCGTTCGGTGAACAATTACTCAATGAGCATGCCAGTGTACTTTGATAGGCATCCAGTACATCTGTCTTCGCCAGTTGGTATGTATTTATGCCCTCATAGCTTTGTTCGGACGTCCGCCAAAAGGTGCCCGAAGGTCGATACATACAAGCACTTGGTGGGATTCCACGCTCGAGCTCCTAATTGATCGGCAGTTTTGGACGCAGTTTCGCTAGCGGTAAGTGATTTCGATGTGATCAATTTGTATCCATGGTTCCAGGCTGGTGGGCGCCATGCAGCTATTCTGCGGGTGTTGTGTCCGAAGTTAATGATCGCGATAAATAGACGAGCATCTTCATACAGGTGTAGCAACCGCACACCGTCATCATGACGGTACTAATACCGTGTTGGCCACCCTGACGCAGCTCATCCGTGGGCAATTTTCCAACTTAGGTTTACAAATCACCAACAAGCACCACAGGATCCGTACTCGTTCTGAGAAGATGGAGCTCGTTCAATTGGCGAAAGAATGCATCTTTCACCGAGCCAGTGCTAGTTTGTGGGGGCGTAGGATGCAGTGACAAACAGGCACCGTTTGTTTGCGCGCGACTTCGAAGCTTGGAACGAGCAAACTAGTTTGACGGTACACACTTGGTTGTTGACTGGGATCCAGTTGATCAGGGCAGCTTTAGCCAGGGAACTCAGAGCACTGACTACATCGGCTTCACATGCATATGAAGTCGCGTCGTCTCCGGACAAGCGCAGTGAGAAGGTGCCGCCAGTGTTGCAAGTTGGCATCGCATGGCACAAAGCTGGAAGCTTGTACGCGGGTATCCGGTAAACAGCAGATATCGACCCATATATATATATATATATATATATATATATATATATATATATATATATATATATATATATATATATATATAATACAATTTGTGGTACAGATATTGTGACCTCGGAATCATGGCTGAGTAGGAAAACAATATGAATAATAAGAAAAGAGCAACAGCAACAAAAGCTAATTTTCTCTAGTTCACCACTCAGATTTTGAAATTTTTTTCCGTTTGTTCGTTTTTTAGGGGAGGAAGAAGGGACACCGATGCACACGTCCGCCATTGACATTGATCTTGAGCCATGGCTTCCAAGGCCTTCAACCAGCAAGTATCCGCATCTCTCGGACTCCAACCAGGTAGTCGACAACAACCGGCCGAGGCCAATTGTTTCGTCAGCTTTTTCATGAAGCTTCTCCATGTTGTAGGCTGTCCACCAGACCGTCTCTTCCCGCCCTGTTCAGCAACCGCAAACAACGCATGACGCGGGTAACGCTGGACAGGCATGCGCAATGTGTCTCAACCACCGCAGTTGATGCAGTGAGACGAGCTCCTCGAGCGAGTGGCTTCCACGTTCCAAGACTCGCTGTCTAACTTCCAAATTGCTTACGTGGTGCTGCTACCACACACGGGCAATGGACCGCAGACAGCGGTGCTCGAAGACGGATAGTCTGCGCAAGTCATCTTTACGAATGGGCCAGGTCTCGCATCTGTACAACAGTACAGCACGAACAGTTGCACAATAGACCCGCCCTTTGATGGAGAGACGAATGTCGTGGCGACGCCACAAATGCCTCAGCCTAGAAAAAGCGAGGCGTGCTCCCGAGATGCGCATCAAAATCTCGTCTCCAACAGCCCCGCCAGCAGTGATGCAACTTCCCAAGTAGACAAAGCTCTCCACAACCTCTGATGTCTCATCACCAAGAGTGAGTGCAGGCAGAGGCACTCACCAGTCTTGGAAGAGAGCCTTGCATTTGGTTGGCGAAAAGTACCTACCATACTTTGATGCTTCAATCGCCAAGCGGTTTAGTGCAAGTTGGACGACGTGTGGATCGTCACCTAGCAAGAAGATATCATCAGCATAATCCAAATCAACAACTCGACTACCTTGGAGGAGCTCAACGCCAGCGTTCAACGAATTGCTCAAAGCGTTCTTCAGGACATCCTCAATGTCAAAGTTGAATAGGAACGGAGAGATAGGGCATCCTTGTCGAACTCCACTGGAGATCATAAAGGTAGGCGAAAGCTTGCCATAAGCCCTAACCCTGCCCGAGGTCAGACTATATAGAGCGCGCAGTATGGAGACGAACATCTTGGGGACACCATTCCTCAGTAGGCAGTGATATCGACCCATAAGGTCCCTAATGTTCAGGCAAGTGCTGCCTGTTGATTAATCTGTAACAAGGTGCGCGCGTTGAGGCGTGCCAGTTTTATGGATGAGCGAGGGCTCCAAATATGAATGGATGAACTGACATTGTCCGCTTGGTTGAACATGGATTTGTCGAATGCACTAGAGCGACGCCCTGCTATTGCTTGTGAGTTGAAACTAGAAGACTGTCTATTGAAGCAAGATAAGGGAGGCCCAAGAATTGGAGGGTGGAAAATTAGTGGGATCAAAGGGAAGTTTTAACGGGAAAATAAAGGGAAAACGCAAAAAGGAGAATAACAAGACGGGAATGCCTGAGCAGTATCCTCTACCCTCTCCATCCTGCTCGACGCAGGAGATAGGGCGCCGTTGACTATCCTCTGCGACAGCTAGAGCATCAAGAGACTATTTGAGGAGAGAGTCAATGTGTCGTATTTCGTGGGCCTAACCAGGAGAAAGCTTAGGTTCTAGACCAACGACTTTGCTGCAAAAACCTGACCGCAAGGCAGCGGGGTTCCGGCATTGGGCTACAACGTCCGCTTTATGAAGTAAGGAGCCAGCCTCAATCCAACCCCAACCTGGAGACTGAGTTTGTCTGGCCTCTAATCATTGGCCAATTTGATATGAGTGTTGAGGCACACAAACCATCGCACCACGCTGGGGTCCATTCTCGTCACGATATGTCCGTCATTCTAGAAAGGTCAGACTCGTAATATCGGTGTGTCCACATAGACCGGTCGCGATCGAGATCACATTGAAGTGAGGGTTGCTGAGATAAGGACTAGGGCAAGACGCGTGTTTCCATACTGCGAAATCACTTGAATGCTTATATGGGCTTAAAAGCGTTGTAAACGGATAGATCGAATGGAAATTGTGTTGAAGTTGCACAACAAGCTTAGTGCTAACATCTGATGGGAAAATATTGGTTCCTTAACGTTTGAATTCGCATGAGACAAATCAGCACTCGGAACAGTGCCATGTGCTCCAATTCTGGTGAATCCCCTTTCTTCAATGAGTGAGTCAGAGCCAATACACACAATGAAACATATCGGAAAGTACAAAACCAATGGTCGCTGTTGCAACTTACCGGTGGAAAATTTGTGCCTTTCTCGTCAATATTCAAAAAGGAGATCAGCTTTTCATAAATGCTAAATCACGAAGTAAAGAAAAATTCGAGTGCAGGTGCGATTACCTCGGGTTACGAAAGGCCTTGTTGTCTTGAATTGACCTATTTGGATCGTAGTCAATTTCCAATCGCATACGATGTACTTCGCGATCCACTTTTTCCTGCAATTTCATGGGGCAATGCCCTGGCGGCTCCGGTGGAAGTTTTACCTCATCAAGTATCCGCTGAAGTTGGCTGCGATCGCGAGAAACAGGGGTTACAACGGGTGGAGTTGGGTCGGAGCGTTCTGTTGTTACCTCTGGTGACTGGGCATTCAACAACTGACCTTCTGATGGGACATGGATTGGAGACTTGTGTGACAAATTCTGGACATGATCTGAAGTGAAAATGGCCGGCAGATCTGGATGAGTGTCAAAAAAACTATCTGATTTGGCTTGTGGGGAGTTTGAGGAGGATACTGAGTCAGCGTTGTCATCAGGTAAGAGGACCTCGATGCTGGCTTTGCCCGTTGCAGCTGCGTCCAACGGTGGGAGCTCCTCTACCTCCATTTTCATAGCAACCAACACAGTTTCGTCTTCGTTGTTCTCCTCATCATCGTCGTCAATAGCGTAAGAAACCAAGCTAGAGGCAGCTAAACGTCAAACAGAGTTTAGAATGTGGTTGGGACAGGCATACTTGCTTGCTTGCTCTTCTTCGGAAGTGACTCCAGCGGGATTCGCACTGACGGCTGGCTTGGTACGGATGGTTCTGCGTCGGACTTGTAGTCGGTACCTTGAGAACCTCCTGAAGCGGTGGGCTCATGCTCGTCCTCCGACGTGTATATAGGCGGAAACATTGCATTATCCATGGGTGCGTCGGCTGATGGATAGGCAATAGGAAATAATGCTTTGTTCAGTTAAACAGAAACACGATAACAATAATACATGGTGTGTTCCCGAGCGACATTAGCAGCTACCAGAAATATGCAACAAATACAATGATTCAGTACAATCGAAGGCTGTGCTGTGCTTTGGTCGGTACATTCGGTGTGGCCGTAGTGAAATCATGGTAAAAGGATAATGTAGAAAGCTCGTTAATGGAACCCTAAGTGCTAAACATGGATGAACAAGTGGGGCACAAACTGGAGATGAAGAAACGTCTCAAATCTCAATGAGGCGCTACGATGTCACCAAGGGTCTCAGCTTTGCTACAACTCGTGTCCTCAGTTTTATATTTAAAGAGATCTCTTCCGGTAACGCACAGTGAGAATATGAAGTCCGGGAGATGCATGCATGATGTATCACCTAGGTGCCAAAAACGATAATCGGAAATGAAATACAACTGTGTGGTGCAAACACACAAACAAATTAAAGAAAAAATGATAATCTCGTCCATAAGTTCAGGTCAATCTGATAGTTGCTTTTGGACACAAATCGTCGGCTTGATCCAGCTTATTACAACAGCCTCGGCAAAACGAAGAAGACGGGAAATTGATATGCCGCAAGCGAAATTTGAATGAGGCGACCTGAAGTCAATAAGTGTCCATCGATCGAAGACGCTGCCCTAAGCTGGGCATGCTTGTTGAGCTGTCTCATAATGGATCCACTTTGGAACGTGCTCCTTCATACGAAAACAAGGTCCTATCGGTTCTGGCTATGCAGCTAGCTCGGCAGTTACATACGAATTGGAACGCACAATCGGAGTTGGCACCGATAGACTGTTTCCTACGGTGGAGACAGCAGCAGTTTGTGAGTTCCGTCGATAATGATGACTGCAGTAGCACAGGCGTTGTACGTGGCAGTAAACAATCGCTTAGTAGTCCTCAGCGCAACTCCGAGAATATGTACTTTTTATGCACGATGGGCGCCGGATCTCTCAGTTGGCTGGTGTGGCTGTGCTTCTCGATGAATCTACAAGGGTAACCATTCGCAACTAGTCTACTAGTAATCAGTTCCTGATAATCAGTTGACCACATTTGCCTGGAACGACTAAATAAGGTCTTCACAAGTGTCCGCTTGTACCCCATTGGTGTGAACTTGATGAAATGCAGGTATAGGCTAGACCACATTGCTTTTCTGTAGACGGACATTTAACCTGTCCGTTTTCTCTGCCGCTGACGAGAACATCGAAATAAGGAAGGTAGTTCTGCCGTTCAATTTCGCAATAAGCCCTAGAATTGGTGCGCACAGCATTCAGACGCGTCATTATCTGTGTTATTTGCTGTTCTGATAAGGAAAACACTAGCATATCATCCACATATCGTTTGCAGTATGGTACTTAGATGCAGTGACTGCGTCCCGGTCATCCTATAACCACAACTTTTCCGGCAAATTTCGGCTTCGACTGGGGTCAGCTGTCGTGCGGTTGAATAAACGTTACCTGAGCGAAAAAAGACGGCCACTGATGTCTCTTTTTCCCTGTTTATCTTACATCCGACCCTGCCTCTTATCGTTAACTTTGCTTCTGCAGTCCTCAACATAAGTGGCAGCAGCTGCATCTCGGCTGAGATTTCACCTAATACGTCACCACAGTACCCAATAGCTTTCTACTGGGCCACAATGTCCAGTTTCCTTCGTTGCACTGAACGTTCGTATGTCAGGATGCACTTGTATGCACACTGCAAGCCATAGATGTAATACATGTGTAATACATCTCCAGGATTAAAATCTATTACTTTCACGAAGTTATCGAACTAATTGCATCTAGTTTATCCTCTCGTTATTGGCTGCACCCATCAGAACAATGACGCAGCAGCCACGCATCAAGCTAGAGTGGGTATCGTTTACAACTCGAGGCGAATTTTGGTGACTGATTGTATTCCCATGAGCAGCCATCTATGCGTAACCTTATCGAAGTCGAATAAGACTGCGCTGTTTATTCGTTGTTACTATCTAAATCCCAACCGACGGTGGTCCTGTGGATGCAAAACATGCCGCATACCACGAGCTTAACGCGCTAATATGCAGCATGACCAGATAAAAATGTGGCTGTATGGGATATGAAAGCACAAATATGTCATCGCAGACCTTAAGAAGCCAAGTTATGTGTGATGCTCGGCCCTAGTTTTGAGCGCATGGTGGTTTGGGGGATCACTGTCTTCAGGTGCAATGTTTTGCTGTTGAGTTCATGATACTGTTAAGTTTGAGGAGATAAATCGTTGCATTGATAGTGGGAAATGAAGTCACTGACTAATAGATTGAGTTGTGTTGGCCCTGGTTGGGATGCACGCGGCTTCCTGTGTTTTGTCCGAGACTCTACGATATATGTTTCGTAACATACACCAGTGGTCCATTTGTCGTTGTATCCTTATCGGACCATCTGGATGTGTGCCTGGTGCTTAGTACTATGTAGAGTAAGAATGATTGTGATGCGGAGTGGTGAAAGCCGCAAGGAAGTTGTCGGTGCATTGTTCTTCTCATTAAAGCCAGTTGACCCTACGGTGTTTATACGGTGCGAACGCTCTGATTCCGAACGTTTACTAGTGCATTTGAGTTTCCTCCACATCAGTTGCTCATTCGTCCGCCGAGCTGGAATATTTGTTTGCAAACGTTTCACCGCCATGCGAGGCGGCATCATCAGTGCATTGAGATGTGGAGTGTAATCTCGCTGATTGAATTGTCGATCCGTGATCGGCGTACAGGTATCTTTTCGAAAGTGACGGCTTCGATCTGTGTCCCGTGATCGCTACCTATTTCCTCGTGGCGGGTTGTTCCTGTTCGAGCAGCGTCTCGTAATTTCTCTAAGTTCTTTCCGTCAGAGGGGCTGATAAACTGGGTCAATGTCGATATGCATGTTGATTGAGTCTTTTGTTGAGAACCACGCTTCCAGGAATTCCCTTGTTCTTCTTGTTTCACCCCGTGTCATGACTACTGTTTTGCCCCGATCGAAACTATGTTCTTTTTCGTCCACTTGTGATAAGACTAGCGATGATGCATAGTGCCTATTGCATGCTATTTGTGATCTTATATTGGTGTTGCTAATTCGCTATCTGTTTGACCAACATAGTCCTCCTCGCAATTTCTACAACATAGTCTATATACAACATTACATTGCTCATGAGCTTCGTTTCCCTTCGGTTTTAACAGAGTTTTCCTCAATGTGGCAGTTGGCTTGTGTGCTACGATGAGCTCATGTTGTTTTAATAGTCTTGCTGTCATTTCGGATATATTCTTCATTTAAGGCACGTTGTCTCTCCGTCGTCGGTGAAGACTGTCTGGTTTGTTGTGGCTCAGACACCTTCGGATGAAGCTTCGCGGGTATCCATTGAGTTGGAAATATTTAAATAGATGATTCTCTTCTTGTTGCTTCACCTCCACGGTACTGCAGTGTGTTTGCACTCTACCAAAAAGTGTCCGCACACTTTGTGGTATTTCGGGTGGTTACTGCTGAAGTTCAGAATTTGGTCCGTATGTGTCCATTTTCAGTAAACTGATGTTTGCAGCCTCCCTTCCATGGTTCTGGTTACTAATACATCCAGGAAAAACAGCTGATTTTCATTCTCCATTTCCATCGCAAAGCGGATGCCTTCAACAGTGTTGTTCAATAGCTGCTGTGCGATTGTAACTTGACTGCGTTTGATGGTCACCAAAGTATCGTCAACAAATCGGACCCACAGTTTCGGATTAATGAGTGGGAGTAAATCCCCCTCCAATTTCTGCATTACCATCTCCGCGACGAGTCCTGATATAGGTTGTCCCATTGGCGTTCCTTTCAATTGTTCGTAGATCTTCCCGTTGAAAGAGAAGTAAGTTGACAGACACATCATCTCTTTCCACTTTCCACATCGCTCATCAGCGTGCTAAGTATGGTTCTGTGGCAGCGAAGCACCCATAAAAAGTACGCATGTACTGATGTTGACGGCAAGCAACGTTCAGTCGACAACTTGTAAGCTGGCGTATGCCAGCCGAGTTTCTAGTGGTATCAGCAGGAAAACGTCCACAATAAAGCCCCCAGACGAATGATGATGAGGATTCAAATTCATGCTCCAGTACTGCAATGGTTTCAACACACAATGTGTTAAAACAACTAGAGAAATACTCATCATCATCAACAACAGCAGTACATCAGCCATTTGAACTGATGCTTCGCTGCCATACACCCACGATAACCTAGAAATAAAGAATAATAAGAGGAAGAGAAGGGTGACTTAGCTGAAAACCTCAATGCCCTAAGCAAACATTCAGGATCAAGATGCCTACACCGTGTGTTAACACCATACCGTCAAAAACAGCTGGCTATCGTGCAAAGGTAAGGCGGCACCGGCGAGAGAGCTTCTTTGCGGCTTTCACTGCCGCGCGTCATAATCTGCCATTACCCCGCAAATAACACAGAACCAAACACACTTAGAACAAGCAATCCGACTAGGAGACGGCAGCAGACGCACCACTGGTGTCCGTTGCGAGGCATGTCCTGTAAAGTCTCGCGCCAAGCACAGGGCGAGTCAGTGGACTACAGCCCGGAAGGTGAGACAGACCGACGGTACGCAGTTTGGTCGTCAGTGACTTCATTTCACGCTGCCAAATCAACTTTTGTCCACCTAAAGCCTTTTGCCACCATACACATGGCAGACTAAACAGGGCCCTCCTAGGTAAGCGGTGACCAGGCATACGTAACACGTGCCCGAGCCAACGCAACTTGTTCAGTGCTATCTGTTGTCCTGGGGTGCTAGCATAATTATCCCTACCTAGTACTCGCCTACGCACATCATTGTTGGGGATACGCTGGTGCCATCCGATACCAGCAACGCTTCGCAGACAAAAATGATCAAAGACTTCAAGGCGCCTCAGATCGAAGGGGCTAAGTGTCAATATTATAGAGCAGGACGGCCCTCACTGTGTCCTTGTATACACGGCCAAAGATGCTGCAGGTTTAAGAACGCAGTCCTGGCTTTTGCAATACGTGAACTGACTTCACTTTCTATGCGCCCATCGTTGTTGATGCAGCTGCCCAGGTAAGTGAATCAATCAAGCAGCTCGAGTTCCTCGTCAGCAAGGGTCAAGGGGACACAGAGTGACTGGTGGTCCTGCAGAAACACTTTGCACTTTGAAGGTGCGAAGCGCATACAAAATAATGGAACCACTCTAGACAGGCTATTCAGGGTTGATTGTGTCGCAACAACATCGTCGAAAAGCAAGACGATATCGTCCGCATAATCAAGATCGACTAATCTTTCACCAGACAGGATCTGAACGTCTACATTGTGAGATTCCACAAAGGAACACCCAATGATAGAATCCACAATGAATTTAAACAAAAATGGGAAAATAGCGAACCCTGACGAACGCCACTTGTGGTCGGAAAGCTATCCGATAGGACACCGTAGACCCTGACGCGGCCTGTAGTGTTCGAGTATAGAGCACGTAGCATGTTCACATATCTCGTGGGAACACCTTTCATCGAAAGTATTTCGAACAGAATACATCGATCGACCGAGTCGAACGCACTCTTGAAGTCGAGGAACACAGCTATTGTCGGTCTGCGGTATGCGTGGCGTTGCTCTAGCACCTACCGCAAAGTGAATATATGGTCTATACAGCCACGTTCTGAGCGGAAACCTGCTTGTTCCTCCCTAATCCAAGCTTCTTGTTTCGCAGTGAGGCTACGAACGGTAATCGAGGCCAGTAATTTTGTCACAACTTGCGTTAGGCTAATACCCATATGGTTAGCACAGTCTGTGTGACTGCCCTTCGGGTATATTGCCACTATAATCGATTCACCCCAGTGAGCCGGGACACTCTTCTTCCCAGAGATGTACGAATATGGAGGTAAGTACTTTGCAGAAGACCTCACCCATCCTTAAATACTGCAGATGGGAGGGAATCCGAGCCAGTAGCACGAAAACGAGTGAGGGCTGTGATCATGTTTCGGACCTCGACCTCCGACGGAGGCTCTAAAATAACTGTCCATGGCTCGTTCTGCATCACCTGAGTAGGAAGAGGCCTGGGAGCAGGGGGCCAGCTGAATTGATTCTGAAGGTGTCCTACCCAACGAGCCATACGGCGCTCCTTATTGTGTATCAGTGCACCTACGCTGTCCCTGGTTGTCTCACTGACGCTTGGTTTCCTGGAATCAGTGCTGCGGATCAGCTGGAAGAGCTTGCGGTGATTGCATACTGCTTCTACCTCCTCCATTTCTTGAGCCCGACTGGTCCAGCAGGATTCCTTGTCAGCATGTAGGATCCGCTTTAGTTCGCACCTAATAGTCCGGCTGATCAGATTGTGATCAGAGCCAGCCGGGAGGTTTCTTCTGGATTCCAAGAGGTTCACCAACCTCTCGGATAGAGAAATACTAGGATTGAGTGAAGTCGATAAAAGGCCTATTCTTGAGGTGGACACGTGAGTGGCATCATGTGCCTATGGGGTTCCGCTGCCGGGGACATCCTTTAACCCTTATCTGCGTTTCTGATCATAATTCTATGGATGTGTCCGGATTTGAATTTCTTCGTTCTTGTAATACAGTATTTATCTGTGATAGTCCTGTCTCCCGGGCCCCTCTACAACCGAATCACTTGCATTGGTAGTTACAATGAGCCTATCTCCAACTCAGGATTCCGGTATCCGGTTCACAATTCAATAACAGAAGCAGCGACAGTCTAAGCATCCTAATTAATCTGCTTCCGAAAGGTAATGGACGGAAACTACATTTGTTCGACCAATAACTAAACCGGTCAGTACAAGTGTGTCCGTATAAAAGAGGAAATTTCAACCCACCAAACTCAATAGACCAAAGAAACATGAAATGTATCGCATTGTGTTCAGCTTTAGTCTCATCGCGATGGAATTCGGCCTGAGACACGGGTACCCATGGAGTACTCCCAGTATCAAGTGGCACCACATTAAACACAAATTGCGAGCGCGCAAACAAATACTAGGTAACAATGATCAATTTAATTCATTGGATCAACGAAAAAGCTAAATAAGTTACATTAACTTGGGCGCACACTATGCGCAGCTGCTCACCGCCTACCTCATATCGTGTGGTTTCAGGTTTGATGAAATCAACCATCGGTTTAGCGATATGAAGTCAACCCTCTGTGGTTTTAATCAGCCTTTCAGATATAGATCTACTTAAACTGCCCTATGTTGTTTGTGAGTGAAGGGTTTTGGTTAAGCTTAAGTGCGCAGAAATATTGAAGGACTGTTTGGAAGTCTATTGGCATGCATGGGGCACGACTCCACTCCCGTACTTCCGGGACGTCTCTATTAAGTCATGATTGCATGACAGCAAGGCTCTAGGCAGAGCACCGATCTAGTTGTTACTGATGAGTGAGTTGCAACGTCCATGAAGCATTCATGGGAAATTGGAGGGTCATTTTGAAGCACTCGATGCGTGAATGAATTGCGACGCGCAATCTCCATGTGGACCGTGATTCCCATTGAAGTGAACCTTGGCGCATTAGATCACTGTGACCGTAACTGATGGACCGGATAGATATTTGGTGTTGCCCGCTCGAAAACACTGCGGTCCGAGACCAGTTTCGAAGTTATTTGATCTCATCAGGTAGATATAGCAAGCATCGAACCCAGAACAACCATTAGAATGTTAGCCGAAAATTCTACCTATTTGGCTACCTGGTCACGTGTGCTTAAAAATGACCTCTCCAATCAGTCATTAACCGTTGTGTCAAACACTGCCCATAGTGACCCGGTAGCTTAGGGATAGCGGTCACAACTAACATCCAAGTGGTCCCGGGTTCGATGCTCGCCATCTCTACCTGATGAGATGAAAAAAGTTCAAAACCGGTCGTGGAGTGCGGTATCCTCGGCGGGCAACACCCAATATCTAGCTGCAAAAAAGAAACAAATGGGAATACCAGTGTATGCATGACCGTTCAAGAAAAACACTTTTTATGGACATACACGACTAATTGCAACGAGGGAAGACTATCGGATATGCAAATTCAATCCGGTTCTCATCCGCTTTTAGTCTGCATGCTGAACACGAGTGCTTATCACTAATTTAGCACTTGAGTGATTCGCGAAGAAGACATCAGTGCTGTACAACATAAATAGTTTAGAGTAAACAGCTAACGAGGATAAATTCAGGACTTAGGCATAACTCGAGCGCAGTTCAAGTTGTGAGGAAAGCGAAACACTTGAACCAAGCTTGAAATGAATAATACTGGAGATCATAAAGTGAGTCCGCAATAATAGTCATAAACTCACCCTCGTTAGCTAAGGACATGTCCGTCACTGGGTCCATGATGAATTCTATAATGGAAAAACTTTTGATGAAGAACAAAGGTGCAAAGAGAGAAAAGTGACGAATGCGTACACTTCGGTCAAGATATTTCACAATCGAGGTGTTGGGAATTCCATAAGCGTTTCAAACTTAGCAGAATAATTTATTAGGACCACAGTGGAGGGCATAGTTGGTCACGACCAAAGGACCACCAAAGGTAACGTTAGTGCTGACACATCGCATCAGCACTATCCACAACGGCAATACGTCATTCTTTCGTATAGCTATTTCGCTGCTATACCATGTGACACCTAGTGCTAGACTATAATGTCCCAGCTTAACATTCAGAATGAGGGCACATACACCCTGTGGACATCCCACAGTTACAGAAAGTTAGCTGCTGTGAGAAAAGCAGTGTCTACGAGACAACTTCACTGGAACTTTCATCGTCCGGCGGTATAATTATCCTCGCTCCATAGATAATTCGTCGCAGCACACAATGTAAGCAACCAACATACCTGGAAATAAGAGTAAACGTCGCACTGGTGCCAGTTGTGAGTAACGTCCAGTAAAGTCTCGAACCAAACGCATGATGAGTGACGAGGGTCTCAACAAACAAGGCAAGCCGAACTGATAGCACTTGGTTTAATTGTCGGAGCCGAAGCACTTACTGACACCACTTCCGAACTTAACGCAATCCTGAACCCGGCTAAAAGGAAAGTCAACCCCGGTATATCAGTTGACAGTGCAATGGGCATAAACTAAACTTATTCAAGTAAACTTATTAACCTAGCCCACTGCGTTCATCACCACCGAGTACTCACCTGCATAGTTCACTTCTGGGAACACATCCATGTCATGCAACGCACGCAATACCACGTAAAACTACCCGTGAAACGATTTGAGTCGATGCACTACAACCGAAGCACCAAGTCCTTTCAGGAAAAATCACACCCTTCACGTGACTTGCATGCTAGCTCAAATCAGCTAGCGGAACTGAATTACCAATCAAGGCAGCTAACGTCGTTGTTCTGAAAAGTGAACATTTTTGGGCTGGTCTACAAATATCCATTAATTTTACACTACTTGTATTCGTGTTCGATTGATGCTCCTCCAATATGCTTTCGTTCGAGATGTTGACTTCTGATTTTGGCTGGGGATCGGAATTTGAATAGAACAACGTCAGTTTAATCGGAATTACGTACGCAAGTGCATCCGGCTCCCAAACTAGAAGAGCAATTCTCCAGTACTGTGGAGAAGTACAGATGTTAACGTAGTCCTGCAAGCATGGTCCAAAGTGAATCAAATTATGGTGCAAGAGAGGCGATGAACTTATGAACAGCGCTATCGTTACACTGGAACAAACTTTAGTCCATTGCAATGAGACTATACCTTAACGTGACACAATGGCTTATGTGCCTCCGTGATCTACGCTGGCTGACAATTCCTACGTGCCTTCACAGCCACTCATATCAGACAAGTCAATAGTTAGGAGTCAGACGCTCAGTCTCAGCATCCCTTCAGAGGTCGGTTGAGGCCGATGACAAGTATCTTAAGTTCAGCTTGATTACAGTGCAGCACGAGAGCCGCACGTTCTCTTTTGGCGGAGGAGCACCTATGTGCTCAATAATGCACTACCAACGGCACCAAAAGGGTGCAGATCTGCCAATACCCGCTCGCGTTAGTTATTGGTTGCAGACGCGCCATCTATTGCGATCGAAAAGACACGTATATATTGTACTGAATCCTTCACAGATGAGCGTGATAGACCTCAAACAAATCCCAATCGGACTGTAGCCATACTGCCGAGCTGGACCTGCTCCTCGCTGCCTTGCGAGTAAGACTAATCAGTCAGTCTCCACTTATTCCATCATCTGGTAGGCCAAAGTCTGGGTAAAAGGCTAAAATGACCACCCAGGTATTATCATCTAAAGTGACACCGCTGAGCGTGCATTTCTGATCATGAATCCCATTTTTATCTTTACTGCATTTATAGGCCGATAATCATTATCATCATTACACATTAGCTGAAGGTCACGAGACATACTCCAACTTTTGTGCCGCAAAGAGAAAACATAAGAAAGAGCGATACTAAATATATAATACAAAAAATAAGTAACACATTGCTTAGTAACATATTATGCTTCCAGAGAGAGATCGTGATTGGAGTGGAAAGATAAGCGGGATGGGGAGGGACAAAGAAGCTCACAGCACAAACGCCATTGGGGTTGACTCTTCGTCACGTTAACTAATGTATCCAGCCAGACGTGTTCATCGTATTTCGTTCCCCAACCCGGCAGTAGGGAGACATCAACCAATGTCAAGTGAGGGTTCCATTCCACTCGACCAAGTCATCGCCTGGCCTCCTCTCCTCTTCCATCCACAGCCCCGGCGCGCAAACGCACGTCGCAGGAGAAGGTGGGTGGCATGCGCAGCACGTGGTCCAGTCATAGTAGCTTGGTGTGTGAGATAACGGTGCTGAGTGGTTTACTCGCTCTTCCTGCACCAAGTACACGACGCCGAACACGCTCATTACACAGTGTTCCCACCAGAGATGTGCTAAGCTGCGAAGGCAACGGTAGTTGAACATAACAAACTTCTTTGTCTGTCGACCTGATGGACCAAGTTTCACGACCGTACAGGAGGTTTTACAAGTGTCGGTCTGAAGTCACATCTTATTGTCAGAAGTCGTGTGGAATAGAGCAGATAGACTAACCACTGAGTCACCGTCATCCTAAAGCAAACATCTCGTAGACTTACCAGACCCCGGGAATCGCAGAGTAGACCCCAATATAAAGGAGTTTCACTTGAAGCTAAACTGAGGATGCAGCCTAACCTGGCAATGAAACATGTGCAACCAAAACGCAAACCAAGGAGAACAACGTTCATCACACCGTGGCTACAACTATCCCCAACAGTTAGCAGAATACACCCCACTGATCCCTTAGAGGTGTATATGAAGAGTGTGCAGCCAGTGGCAATTCAATGAAACGATCGGTGTGCTCTGCTCTTATGCGCAGTCAGAACAGAGAAAGTGGCGGACAGTTTGGTCCGACTGACACAGACATTTAAGATGCCGACAACGCAGTTAGCAGTATTAGGCATTCATGCCTACTGCGATAGTGTTGAGGATCTAAAACACCTCTGACTGAAAACAAGCAAATGACCAATGAGAGAGCATGGAAACAATAGTAAGCCTACCCCTATTGGTGTTTTATGTGAATGAGGTGAGAGCATCCGGTTCAGTTGGAGTCATTCCGACTGAACGCACTAGGGCAAACACCTGTGTCCGTGCTATCAGAGAGGGGGACTGGAAATCCAAAAAAAACATTGATATACGTGAAAACACGTTAGGAGATTAAAGTTAGATAGGAGTAGCTGAAACTACACACGTCGGTTAGCAGGCCAGAAACCAGATAAGAGATCAAACTGAGTGCTCATAAGTTCGTTCTTTCAAAGGTTCCATTAAAAAGATGAGTATTCCGCGCTGACGGGGCATCACTCATTCAAAATGTGCCCATTTTATGTCGAGCCCATTCAATAAGGTATCTGGTAAGTGGTGTAGCATGCAGAAAGTTGGGGGTCATCCGGCCACCGGATAATGCATACCTGACAACTATGATCGTGAGTCAAATGTGTGGGTCCTATTGGTACATTGTGCACGAGAGCCTAATTTTTCATGCAACTATTTACGAAACAATAGCAAGAACCCCAAGTTACACATGTTCCAGGTGTGTCAGTTGAGTTCATATTTCCCTTTCACATATTGTTCACTAAAAATAGGCACATTCCAGGATGAAAGTATACAAGACCTAGACATGCCGAACAAAAATTAAACTGAACTCTTTTCAGTCATCTGGAACTAAAAGTGTAACACCTCGACTTCACTCAGTACGTGCGACTGGATTAACTTATGGCGAGTTGGATAGATATACACACTTCTTTCAGAGTTAGTAGATGTCAGTTGCAGTACACCCTTATTTACTTAGTAAATAAGAAAAGAAGAAGGGTATCGGCAGTACGCCAGCACATCGTACTGATGCTTCGATCCCACGCAACCGATACCACTCGCGTCTGAAGTGGGTATTCATTCACTCATTATACGCCTACTTTCGTGCCGCAAATCAAGAGAGAAAAAACATGCAACGAAGACAAACCGGTCGAGTCACGAACAACGGATGGACATCGATCCGGAGAGCTACTAGCAGGATATTGTGCCGCAAATAAAGGATTACACTATGCCTAATGAATCAAATCGTAGTTGGAGGGAAAGGACAAAGCGATTCCCAACACAAATGCCACTGAGCTCGGCTCCTAGCCATGTCAACAACTGTTTTTAGCCAAACGTGTTCAGCATCGATTCGGTCGCAACAAGACTGGACCATAACTTGGTGCGATGGTTTGCGTACCACTTTGACCCATTGAGCTATACTGGATGGTGTCCCCAGGTCACTTAATAGCTTCTGCTACCAGGTGTGTCCGGGGTGCCAGGGAGGAGTAGGATCTCTGGTAGGGGACCTGCCTTACTCTCCTGAGTAGTCCGCCTATATTTTGGTATCCACCTGTAGCTCCAAGAAGCTGCTTGCACGCGGCAGCGGCCATACCCCGGTCAACCGTCAAGCAGATAGGCTAAACCAGGTGGGGGTAGCCTGGAACACTATTCTCGGTGAGTTTGTACCTACGAGCAACGTCAATCCTGATAAGTGGGCGGAAGAGATCGACCTATGATTCAATGGCCACAGGTCAAGACAATTTCCCAGATCCCTGCTGCCTTGCAGCTAGCATTTGGCTGTGCAAAGGCTAGAGGTGAACCCTCGAACAAAAACCGGATGAGATTGGGGTCCTCATATGTACTCTCAATCCCCACGAAACTTCATGACATGTCCGTTACCCGTGATTGTTCTCGTGCTACTGCGTTCCCGGTAGGCGACGTGCTCTGCGCTGACCCAGAGGTCAAGGTGATAAGTAAGCTAGCTGAGTTCTTCAATCATCGGAAGCCATTATTCATTGGATGCTGGAATGTCAGAACT